TGATAATCAGGGTCAGCACATATTGTCAACTAAATTGGGGTCTGGACTTTGACTGTGCCATTCTAAAACAGGAACATGCTTTTAATGTGTGGTAGGAGACACTTTTTAATCAAGTTAGTTTTTTAATCATAACCTATATGAAAAGAATAAGCACAGAAACCCTTTTTTGCACCTAAATCACTGAATAAATAGACTTATTACTCTTCTTGTTTTGACATATGACTTAAACTGGGAGAAATTCAAAACTTGACATTTTTGAAGTAGGCTTGCTCTGTGGCCCAACCCTACTTCAAACTCCTCCACAAGTTTCTCCCTGGCCCGTTTGATGTGTTCCTTGGTGTTCTTGACACTGTTTGCTCAACAATGTTCCCAATAAACCTGGGAGACCTTCCTAGAGCAGCTGGTCTTATGCTGTTCGTGTTGATGTACACATGTGCAAGTTAGGTGAGTTACAAATACATAACAATCTAGCCAGATTTTAATTTGAACAACTCCAGGAAAACCAGCTATCCTCATCCTTCCACTTCACAATTTGCACTAGTTTGAGTTGGTCTATCACATACAAACAGGACAAAATATATCAAAGCTTGTGAATGCAATGAGATAAACTGTAATAAATTTTAAAGAATGTGAATATGTTTGCACTAGTGTTCTCCCTTGCCCAACATGGACAGTAAAAAGCAGACAGGACATAGCGGCGCAGCATGCCTCGCTGTGATTTGCAGCCAACTGTGAAGCAGCAGCATCAGCTCTCCAGCCTCGGCTCCGTGAAATGCTTTCTTTGATTTAGAGGTCAGTTATGCCCAAAGAGAAGAAGTCTGAAAACCTCTGATTCGTAAACCCACGACAGACGCAGTCGGCCATACAGCCATTCTTCAATAAGTTCGGCTTTTCCATCACAGCTGTAAAAGAGATTGGTGCTGGGTGTCAAACCGCAGATGCTGACGTCCTGCAACTTCTAGAGGGTGTCCAGGGTCCAACACTTTTGGATCAAATGGCTTTAGCATGTAGTCAAGTTTCTTAGAGTCTAAGGATCTAATGAACTGATTCAGGTTTGTTGGAACAGACAAAAATCTAAAGTTGTAAACCCTTGAGGATGCAATACTAATTTTGTCAAGTTTTCTAACTGCAACAGTAGCTGCGTTTCCATTGACTATATAACTGCACAATTTGACATCTCAAACATAAATTTGCTTAATGAAACCATAGCAATTTTGAAAAAAAAAAAAAAATTTATAAAAAATGTTTTGCCGCTAAAATGAGGTGGTTCTTCGGTCTTATTGAAATGGGTACATTTTGCAAATCTGCAAAGGAAACAGTCGGATGTTACTACTGCCGAAAGTGACAAAGAAGATGACAAGGATGATGGTTTGTCTTTGCTTTTTACGGACAATGTGTGGCTGTCCGTAATATGATATGAGAGTTCCACCGGAGCTCTCATATCATCGCATAGTTCATAAAAAGTTGCGTGTTATTTCAACATGTTGGATCCATAACCCTTCTGTAAAATCACAGCCTGCAATTTCCACAAAACGTACGTACACCTCCCACTCCCAACAAGGCGGTGCTTGTCGCTCCAACGCTTGAATAATATTTGCTCAATAACACGGCAACGTCTCCTCACATGGCTGATAGATGAAGAGCGCTAGTGCATTGCATGAATTATGAATATGTCTCTGTTTACATCCATTACCACCGTGATTTTTAATTCTTCACCGTGTATACAATGAGCCACTTGTTGACACATGATTTTCATTTTATTTTTTATTCAATGCAAATACCAGAATTATGAAATTGTGTCTTTTCAACATCAGCAGAATATCTACAAAGACTTCCCCACATTAGTAATGATGATGACTGGAGGAATAGGGTGATATCTATTTAAGCCCCTCCTCCCACACCCATGGAGTCAAGATGTTAGACCGGGGGTTCCAGGATCCTGGGGAGAGGCAACAGCCTGCTGTGGGCAAAGTTGCTCCCAGAGCCCAGAAATGCTCAACCTCAAAAGCCACAGCTGGCTAAAAGAGCGATGACATCAGCGTCTCTGCACCACGTTTCTCTCTGCGCAGCACATGAGCTGCCATATGTGTGGCACAATAGAAAACAGGCATGGCTTGTGGTGTTGGGGCGTCGGGTGCCTGCTACGCCTTTCCAGCGTAGCAGGAAAGGCCTCTACTGTACGAACAAGCGCAGAGAGACGCACCCCTGTGACTGACTCCAATAAAAACTCCTTTCCAAAACAGCGCTAATAAAGCAATTAGAGCTTCTATTTTAAGAAATTACCAACGTGCTCCTCTTTGTTTCTATGAGGTAATTATGGAAGCTTTTCTTCCTCTATTGCAGGACATGTAAAAGCCAACAACTGCAACAATGGCTCACTTTTCAGGAAGCGATATAATCAAGTAGTAGGCGATTCAAAGCAAACCACCGTTTATGTAAACATGACTCTTATTGTTAAGAACAAGCCCGGTAACAGCTGCGATCTGTCCAAACGGGAGGTCAAAGCGAACCCCAGCGGTCAGCCGGGGACGACCGAAGCCCACCCTCCTACATTTGGAGGAATTCAGTGATATGGAGCACCTGTGTCAATATTATAGGGGGGTTTACAGGTCCTCTGGGTCTCCAGCTCTGAAGAGCTCGGAGCCAAATGGGCGTGAAGTAGGTTTTGGCAAAGTTGCGCGGAGAACCAAAAAATAAGAAAGGCTTGATTAACTGTTGCAAATAACGTTCTATAAAAACAGTGGAGCGCACAAACACTTGTTGCTTTCATATGTTTAATCAGTAAAACAATAACTGATAATAAGTAGTAATGAGATTTGAAAAATTAAAAATGAAAAACCCCATATTGTTGCTGTTTCTCACATAAATTAAGCTAAGCCTAAGTAAGCTAATTGTTAGCTTATTAGCTAAGAATTGTTTAAGCACTTTTATGCTCAAACAGTGCTTAAACTATGCTAGCTTGAACACTCTAACTATGGAGTGCTTTAACTCTTTAGCAACATTGCTAAAGTGCTTAAAGACTTTAGCAATGAGCTAATTAGCATTAGCTAATTGCTTAAGTATGCTAGGTTATGAGTAAAAATTAAACAAACAGCAGCTCTCAGAATAGCAAATATTATTTTACTATTCTGTTCTAAATGAAGAATTAAAATGATCAAATCTACCTTTACAACAAATCAGTTTCATGCGTGTAAGCTTGAGACGTCATATTAGTCGTTCTTCACCACAGACTATGGTAAATTTGGCCAAAGTGCAAAAACCACAACTGTTTGTAGTTTCACGTTGAGGGCCCCCCTGAAACTGGTTTACTTTATGTTCAGGTACCAAATATTTCCCTTCCAGGCAGCTGTAGAAAAACTGCATTATCCATGAATGATTGGCAGATAGACTGACGGCTCGCTCAGGGGTACCAGCTTCCTCTGCAATCATTATCCAAGGTGAGTTTTAATCTGCAGCGTGAACATTCCTGTTGTGCATAATGGTTCTTATTGCGGCTTGCTAGAGTCCCAAAACTTTCCAACTATCTTTGCAACCGTTTCCAGACTGATGGATGTTAATGACTTTGTTTCTAACTTGGTTTTCGAATGTTTTTTCTCTCTAAGATGTTCTAGACTGCTTCAAGTTGTCAGACACGTCCAATTTCAGTTATCTAGTCTACAAGGCTGCAGAAATCAAAAGAAGAGGGAAACGATTAGTTTAAATAAGATTTTCCCTAAAAAAGAAATAATTTGGCGAGGATTTTTTTGGGTAATCACCCTGACCTTAATAATGCAATTTGTTTGATTATGTGAAACATTTAAGTGTGACAAAAAAAAAAAAAAATACAAGAACAGCAATAGAAGAAATCTGTAAGGAGAAAAATATATAGCTACTTGTCAAAAGAAACATAAAAACATAACAATCAACCAGAAACATAAATTAAGGTTTCAAGAGTCAACATAATTTGATTAAATGAACCTTCCACATGATGGAATGTTTCCTATGACAGCAGTAAGTCATGTAATTTTGGTCTGCGCATATTCTGCACCACAGAGGCGCATGGTTCGCCAAGAAGGACGCTCCTTCAGAACTCTGGTCCAATCAATGTCAAGTGTCCAACAGTCAACTAAACTAAACAGTAATTTAAATTGTTAAAGATGTGACAAATGAATTGGTAGTAATCATACAATGACTTGAGGTTTCTTAGTTAGTTAATCAGAATACTTACAAAATGCAACTGGATGTTGTTTGGGCTTCCAGAAAATTTTGCAACAGTGGGCCAGATGGGGGAACATTAATAGTCTTGTGGTGCCACAACACAACCAAAACTGGCAACAGAATATCAGATAAAAAAAACAACAAACAAACAAAAAACATTTGGCTTGTTGCTATGATAGAAGTTGAAATTCTTAGGATTTTTTAAAAAACATATTGAAACATTTTAAAAGTCTAAATTTATGTTTTTAAGTACCAACATGCCAAAAACCTTCTCGTTTAGCACCTTACAACCTATCTTTTTATTTTTACCTCTCTAATTCTGACTTCAGAAAATGCTGAGGTGAAACAAAACGCACCATTAACTAAAGGGGGCCTCTAGTAAGGTTCTCCCAGGTCCCACACAGTCTCGGATCGGCCCTGACGGTAAACATTCAGTGAAGGTGACTCTTTTATAATTATTATTTTATTGTATATATATATATATATATATATATATATATATATATATATATATATATATATAATATATATATATATATATATCAAGCAAATCCGACCTCAGCTTGGGCCAACATCAATCAATGTCATGTCAGGTATGCAAATTGCGCGAGATTTGATTTTCCGCGCTGTGCGTGCGTTGAAACACATCGACGGTTTTTGTCCTGAAGTGGGGGAAGTAAAGTGACCTTATTGCTGGGCAGAATCCAGCTGCCTGCCGGGTTAGAGAAGAGGGATGTTTCCACAGAGCTGTGCTGTAGTAAAGAGGGGCTGTTCCCTCAGCAGATCCCAGCTCAGCTCAGTCCGTCCAGACCAGCGGCTGGGTTGAAAGCTGGGGACCAGGCGGCGACGCAGCGACGCATTTCACAGGTAAAAGTGGCTCCAAGTCGAGCTGCGCTGCGCTCTATATTCTGACATTTATTCGTGGGGCTTCGCACGCGCGAGTGTATGTGTTATGTTTTTTTTTTTTTTCCTCGTGTCACGACACATGCAGCGACTGAAGAGGGAAGCTGCTGCTGCTGCTGCTGTGGAAGCAGATAGTCGCTCTGTTTTCAACAATCTTCTTCCAGAGGTTTTATTTTTTTCCCCCTACAACTTAAAGCCAGCTGCCTCGGACTGAGCGCGTGCCCTGACTCGCTGTCCTTTCCTGGTCCTCCGGAGAATGAAACCGTGTCTCTGCCCCGGACAGACGCGGCGTCAGGAGGCGACGCCAGCTGGAGAGGATGTCGGTCTGTTCCCCCCCCAGTCTCTCTCTCTCTCGCTCGCTCTCTCTCTCTCTCTCCGTTTCTCTCTCAGCTGAAACTTGCAGCTGCTGTTTGCGGACGCGCTCCCATCAGCTGAAGGTTAAAGCTGAAGGCTTACCGGGCTAGCCTTAGCCCGAATATGTCGGAGAAATACTTCCATTTCTTTAAACAAAAATGACGCCGTTTTGTCCCCCCCCCCTGCTCACGCTTACAGACTTGAATCAAACCGAGCACTGATTGGAGAGTGGAATTAAAACGCCACTTCATTGGTTTTAATGTTTAATTACTCCGAACAACAGTTAGTGGCATCCAGGTTTAACTTGTGGAGCAGCTCTGCCTTGTATCCTGCTCTCTCTCTCTCTCTCTCTCTCTCTCTCTCTCTCTCTCTCTCTCTCCTCTCTCTGTGTTTCTGTGATGGAGGCAGAGTTCTAAAAAAAACACCGCCGTCATCAAAACACTGCATGTATGCCGGAGGACCAACACGCCGAATTCAGCCGGGGACCCTCTCCGACACGCTGATGCACTCATGACTTTGGTCGATCTGATCGGGATGTCGTTTAGTCGGTGAAACCTTATTCAGACGGATATTCGAAGGGACTTTCGCCAGCTCTCCACATCTGCTCACAGCGCGCTTCTTCGGGGGCGGGGGATGGGGGGGGGGGGGGGGGCGCACTCAGATACCGACCTGCCACGGAACCAGAGAGCGAGGTTAGCATCTCTCCCGAACCCATCAATCATTCCCGCAATGACGCGGCGACAGCCCCCTTCGGTCCCGGCTGCGCGTGCGGTTCTGGCCGGATGCGGGGGAGCGAGCGAATGGCGATGGAAATGAGCTGCTGAACAGCCGCCTCTGGCGAACGGCGTGCCAAGTTTGGGCTGCTTTGATGTTTGCATGTTGTCACTTTGTCACACCTGCAGCATGTCTGCGTGAGGATGATGCTTGACCTCTCCTCTCCTTCCTCCACATGCACTCGCTTGCATGCGGGGTGAGTTGAAAGCAGCCGCCCTGCTGTCAAGTGTGGAGAAACGGCTGAAAGATGCGATTGGTTCTCCGGAATTCGGCCCAGAATTTAGCTGCTGATTTAAATATCACTCAAGGGTGGTTGACCTAAAACACTTGGCTCTGATCTTCCTTCTGTCTATCTGTGTTTACAATGGCTCAGTAATTCAGGAAGAAGTCCATTAAAACTTGGAATGGGATATTTTTTGGGTGGGGATAAGGATAGAAGAAGAAAAATGGAGCGTGGAAAAGTATCTTTATTTTTAGACTTTGATCCTTGTATTGTCAATGAGTATTATGTTAGCTTCTAACTGTATGTACAACACGAGGTCTTGAGTATTAGGTAAAGCATCTTCAGTTTCTAACTGAAACTGCACCTTTATACCCCCAAACACTTCTGAAGGTTAGATGAACAGTTGATAATGTATTCATTTTTAGAGAAAACGCATAAATTTGTGGAAGTGTCATATTTAGCCATATGTACTTCTGTCAATGTGACCTTTCTGTTTCCCCTATCCATTCATCCATCTGCATCTCTCCATCTGTTCATATATCCATCAATCTATCTGCTCTGCCATCTGTATGTTTCCTTAACTGTATATCTATTAATCGATTTATCAATCAGTCCATCTATCTATTCATTCAAGTGTCAGCTCATTCATAGAACCATCCGTCCGTCCGTCCGTCCATCCATCCATCCATCCATCCATCCATCCATCCATCCATCCATCCATCCATCCATCCATCCATCCATCCATCCATCCATCCATCCATCCATCCATCCATCCATCCATCCATCCATCCATCCATCCATCCCTCTGTCCATCTATCATCAAACTGATTATTTCATCTGTCCGTCCTTTCATTAATCTATTTTGCATATAATTGTTTATCCATCCATTTATCCTTAGTCAATGAAAGCCTGATCAACCAAAGGTGTTTTGTTTTTAGCGTGCACTTTCTAAGTGTACTTAAAGTTGATTGTAGTGTCTTGTCAATTTAAATCTGGAAAACAGTGACACTTTCAAATGGAAGGTGTGTAGGAACCTTGGTCTAGAGGCCAGATTTTCATAATTTTAGTCCGTTCCATTTCTTGGTTATTCCAGTACTGCTCCTGTAACTGGGAACGTTCCTCACATCCTCTCACTTGATCACTCGTATATGTGCTTTCACAAAAGAGCCGATACTTACAGAAGGATTTTTGGCTCTGTATTTACGACTCTTAACATCGACCAGAAGTGATCTCTTCCTGCTCGCTGGGACTTTTCACAGCTCAGAGAGCCAACATCAAAAGCTGTTAGGAAATGTCAGTACAGACACTCCAGAGTGCGTTGGAGAAGGTGGGGAATGAAATAGCCAAACCGGTACAGAAATGTAGCCCGTGTCAGCACTTCTGGGTTGGTATCTTGAATATTAAATTGTGATTGAAGTACGGACTTGTACAGAGTGGAGGAATGTTTTGCACATCTCTTAAACCTGGGATGTTGTGGGAACAAGAGACCATGCTAGTTGCCCTGAGGAAGAAGGGTGTGGAGCCTGCTGGGATGGGGAGCGTATTAGGATGGGAAGAAGCTCATTAATTCCTTCCAGCAGTGAGAGGAAAAGGCCTGGTCAGCAAAATAGTTCATAGTCATGGAGGGGCCCTCCATGACTATGAAATGAATGGCAGGGGTTCAGTTTTCACTTATGCTCTTAGTTGCCAGATAAGTTCTTTAATGATAAGTGTGCACGGTTTCTACAGCGGCAAACATCTTTCTCCTTTCTTTTCCAATCCCTAGTGTCACATCGGTAGAACAAGCATGTCTGCCACCGGGTTGCCGTAGCCTTTGAAAGTCATGCAATGTTTTGCCTGGCTACAGGAATCCCCCCTCCGAGGTCTTGCCTGATGTCGCATGGTGATGTCAGAGCAGAGGTGACGCAGCTGGGAAGGAGGACGCTGGCGGATGAAGCCAGCCAGAAACGTGTGAAAGCTCCTGACGTTTGGCTGTGGGAGGAGGCGGAATCAGTGGCATGAAATTACCGCTCGGCAAAAATTCTGTTGGATCCGAGCTGCTGGTTGAAGGGGGAGGGGGGGCACCAAGGCGGTGTTTGTTTCTGATTCCTGTTCGTCTGTTCCGTTCCAACATTGGAACAGTTTTCCATGACATGGTCCAGGCTGTTTGTTGTTATGCGTTCATGTGGCCTTTATTTCTCGTTTCCTCAGGTGAAACATGCTTGTTTTTGCAGCATGTCGGCTCTCGATTTGTGAAAGTTGCTGCTGATGAGGCATGAGTGCAATTCTGTGTTGGGGAGGACATATTTTGCTGGATTGTTTGCTGCCTTCTCCTTCGTGGTGCTGAGCATGAGGCATGCCGAGTCCACATCTGATTAGCAGAAAGGCAGAGCGTGCTGCCCCTTTGATCACACTGTTTCTGGCTGATAAACCATGCCACTGTCATCTCCAGCAAAGCCCCAGACCTTGACAGACACTAATTACCATGAAGCCCATTTGGCAGGCTTTGGAACAGGCGCAGGGCTTGGAGTAGTTCATGGCAGGTGGAGCCTACGGGCCATGTGTGGTGGTGAAGATTAACATGCTTAATAATCTGTACTTAAGAGTTAAAGCAGCTCTCAAAAAATGTATGCTGAGAAAAGAAAAACACATTATTATTTTTTTTAACCCAAAGTCATTATAGAACCAGTTTTCCTGTGAAAGATGTCCCTCGGCCATTGTTTCCAGAGAGCTTACAAAGCATTGCAATGATCTCATTTTACAAATGTCTCAATCAGGAGAAGAACACAAAACAATTCCACAGCATATCGGCCACTGGAAGCATCCAAGACATTAAAACTGCACAAGCCAAGCGCTGGTTGTGTTCTTCAGGTGACAGCAATCTTTTGCTCTTTGGAGTCCAAAACAGGCCTTTCTTTCAAAGAAACTACCCAGATCTGCCTTAAACCTCCCAAAAACATTTGGGCAATTGTGCTATGGTCAGATGAAATCAGACTTACACCAGGAAGTAGGGCTTCTGGGAATTTCTGGACCAAAATACCACTTGGCTTCATTAGACATTCCATGCAAACTGTAACTCATGGGGCGTACAGTGGGTTCAGAATCAAACACATACTCAGAGTACCACTTTCACTCAATCATGTATGTTTGAGGAATTCGTGAATCTTCCGTGGCAGCCACTACGGAGTGCCTTAGCGCTTGTTCCTACAATACACTGCCTAGTTGGAACTTCAGTTCACAGCCAAAATCCTCCCCCATAGAGCACCCCTTTGACAGGCTTCTCTCATACAGCTCCTCTAAACTAGCAGCAGCAATCAGCAAACACCTAGAGGAACTGCACGTCTGCAGAGCTTATGCAAACTGCCACGCTCCTAAAAATGGTTGAAAACATCATTGGATGGCATGGAGAGGCGTTATTGTGATGGTGTGCTAAAAGCAGGAGTGTCGGAAGGATCTTAAAGAAAAGGAAGCCAATTTTAAGGCATCAGATACAAAGTGAAATTTATTTTGAGTTTCTTTTGATAGCATTTACATAACAACTGAAGGTAATATTCACACTACTTGATTATAGTATAAAATGGGACTATGTGACTGGAAAAAAATGCATAATTCCCCGTCCTTTAATATTTTTATA